GGTGTGTGCTCGCACACGCCCCGATTGTGTCCCTCCATGCCATTGCCAATGCACGGCTTCTCCGCTCATCAGACACGCCGCCAGCGGACAGCGGCTGATATCATGAACGACAACAGGAAGGGCGGGGTCGCCCTCGCCCAGGCTCAGTGCGCTTTCGGCTGCCGACCGCATACCCAACTGAGCGGCACCCCCACTCAAAGAGCCGTGTTTCGCGGGAAGCGCAGTAACGCTAGGTTTCTGGTGGTAACAACTGCGCAAACACAGCTGCAACGTTATGTGCATGTGGCACACGCGAAGGCGGGAGACTTCCTTGGCACCGACACACCGCTGGGCGCACTTCGCAGACGCATGTTGCTGCAGCCGCACCGAATCGACATCCATGGGCTGGTGGTGCGCAGCGCGGCCAACGTCGTGCACGGCTGCCACCACCTGTGGCGCGACCCCACTGCGGTGCGGTGCCAACATGTCAGAGAAGGCGAGCAGGCTCACCTCTTCAATCTCACAGATGCCCCTGCCTCTGAAATGTGTGGTCGAGTGTATTGATTTGTCAATTACAATGAGATGAGTGCACGCGCTACGCTCGCCGAGAGAATAGCTGTGCCCTGTGCCGCGCCCCGACTGAGCGGTCCTCGGCCGGAATGAGCGTGTATGCGACTCAATAGTTGCCTGGCGTGCCATAGTGGAGGGCGGCTCTGCGACGTGTTGGTCCGCGTAGAGGCAAGTGCCCGCTCGTGTTATTGTTGGTGCTTGCCGGCTGGCGGGTCCATCGCTTGCTCGATAGAAAAGCATGTATCGCGAGTTGACGCCTTGTGCTAGCTCTGCAGCGGGCCGCCCGCGCCTCGCCGAGGTGTCAAACCGTCATTCGCACGTGTGGCGCCTCCCGGCGGCCGACCTCAGCGGCGCCTCACGACTCCAACCTCGTAACCTTCCTCAGGCGCGCTGTCGCGGCTGCAATGGCTCCGGGCTCGGGGCGCGGCCGGGAGGCGCCTGCCATGCTCAAGGGCGGCTGGCGGCCCTGTGAGGACTCGGCGCTCAAAATGTGGGTGCGGCGCCGCCGCCGCCGCGCATATCCTGCAGTGTTGCGGCCCCTCCGAGGATGTGCGCGCCCACGTGTGTCGCCACACCTGCTGGGCAGCGGGCGCCAGGGCCCGAGACCCCGCAGCCACGCGTCTGGGCGCCGCCTCACCCGCGCGTTCTCGCCTCGGTGCTGTCAGTGCGGAAGCTTGTCTCGAATGCACGCTCACGCACCTCCGCTTGCGCCCCGCGCGCACCCACCCCACCCCGCCCCGCAGCCTGGTCGGCCAGTATGGCGAGGGCAACTGGAGCGCGATAGCGCGCGCCCTAAACGACGCCGTCGGGCCGCCGCCCGGCGCGGCGCCCAGCGCGGGGCGCGTGGGCAAGCAGTGCCGCGAGCGGTGGAACCACCATTTGAGGCCCGATATCACGAAGACCGCGTGGACGCCCGAGGAGGAACGCATCATGATACAGGCGCACCAGAGGTGGGCTCAGGGGGCCGGGGCGCAGCGGGGCGGCGCGCTTGGGTCGGAGGGTCGGGGACGCTGGCGGCGGCTGCGCGGCGAGGGGGTCCCCTCTCGCGCACACCCCTCCCTCCTCGCGCGCCTGGGCGCCTGAAGGGGCGAGGGGCTGGCCGCAGCAGCCCCTGCGCCGCGCAGAGCAGAGTAGCGCGGCTCGCCATGCACCTCCACGCCGCCCGCCAAACCACCACCCCGGCGCCCCCAAAGGTTTGGCAACCGCTGGTCCGAGATCGCCAAGGCGCTGCCCGGCCGCACAGAAAACTCTCTCAAAAATTTCTGGAACGCCACCCTACGGCGCAAGGA